CTACTCTCTTTTGCTTTCTCTTTGAAAGATTTTAAAGCTCTTATTTTTAAGAAATGTACTGAGACTCCTCTGGTCTTTTTTGTATCATGGAGACTTCACTGGAATGGGTTTGGAAATAAAACACTGGACGACATCACAAAACGTATCAGAATCCTGTTTATGCCAAGAAGGCATTCAACAGTTTGAGTGTGCTGGAATATAGTTTTGTAGGCTGTTACAAACACAGTCAGGGTGCTGTAGGTTTGGACAAGTATAGGAGAGAGGTGAGCCCTGTATGAATGGTCCAGTCCCTATGTTACAGATTGCTATGTCTCTAAGTGAAAGGCACCTCAATTAATTTAAATCACCCTTAACCCAAAACAGTTTAAGACAAATGCAAACAAGGTAAATCTTTAAATGTTTAAATAATAGATCCAAAATGCATAAAAGCGTATAAAAGAATTAATAGACACAAAAAATAAAATAAATATATCTCTGTTTAGATACACCTAGAGTAAATTTGAACATTTTTGTCATCTTGACTGATTCGGCTAAACAAGTGACACTTCTCATTTGAGGGCTATGGTCCTCCTGCAATCTGAGGTTTGTATAAAGTCATAGATATATTTAAAACATGCACATTTTAATTATGGTGCAGATTTGTGGGCTTCTGCATACATGAATGCACAAAGGTTGTATCCTGAAACCCCTCCCAGATTCCCAAGGATCCTACTCTACTTACAGATCAGGAATAAGTTGCTCAGTAGTCAGATGTATGTGTTATGTATGCAGAAACCATTCTGCCTTGTGCATCTTTTTCTGTCCAGGTGCACTGCTGATGAGAGCGTCTCCAAATAAGCCATTACTTGAAAATTTCCTTATATGGCAGTTTCAGTTTTTAAATTTCCCGTCTAGTTAAGTAGATTGTAGTGACTTCTAGGCACATTTGGATGGACTGTCCTAAGCTAATGAAAGTGTAAACATATTTGTCACAGTGACTGTTCTCTTTGTGATATAAAAGCTATGGTGCATTGATAATAATAACCAGTAAGGAAAATTGTAAGGTATGCTATGGCTTGCTGCCATATCATAGAATCCTTCAGAGATACAGCTGGCAGGACTGACAGGGGCCCAATGGTGCGGAGGCATCCTTTGGCACAGAAAGAATATTAGCTTTTTTTTTTTTTTATGCTCAGGTAAAAATAAGGATTACTTAGAGAAAGGGTTTCACTCTGAGGCTGAGCATTTTCCTGGCTAGTAGGAAAGGGCTTTGTAGCTCCTACTCAGTGAACAACTCATTAAAGAGAAAGGCAACCATGGGAGTAGCATCCAGTTCTGTCTAGATACGTGAAGCTCTTCCAGCTGGCTCAAGGACTGTGGGCGGCTCCAAAGCAGGAAGCCATGACCAGTGTTTTAGGGGCAGAAAGGAATGTCTCTCTTCTTGCTTGGATTAGGGAATACTTAATCAAGGTGAATAAATGTGAGTGTGGAAGACTGGAATCTGCGTCTGGGTGAAATGATCTATAAAAGAGAGCAGAGGTCACCAGTCTCTTCTGAGCAGGCATTCTCTTCTCTTTACTCTCTTCTGAGTAGGCAGTCTTGAGAAAAAATGTGGAAATGTTTCAATGCTTAGTTCTTAGTGCATCTATACATGCCCAGTCTTCAAAACCACAATCCTATATGATTTCAATCCTGTAAAGACTAGGGTGTTCGTAGGTGTATATGTGGGACTAATGAGTCAGATACCTATATAATAATTCCAGCTAGGCAAGTTTAACTATAATATTGCACAAGCAACTGAGTTTGTCTTTCTTTGTAGTAAATATAGAGCTAAAAATCATCAGAGAATATCGGTTTTTTGTAGCCTATGATATATTCATAGCCCAATCAAGCTGAAGAAGTCATACATTTAAGAGTGGTCAGCGTGGTGACTGTATGTGCAATCTTCACAAACATTACAGGTACTAATTCAAACCCAAAACTTGAAAGACAGTCCCCTCCCAAAACCTTTTCCACCTCCCCAAACCAAAAGTGAAACAGTATTATCTCAGTGCCCCAAGCTTCATCCAGCCGAGAGGAAAATTAATTCCATGCACACGGGCTTCTTACTGAGACTGTTCATGCACCAGCTCCATGGTGTTTTAATCAGCCTGCTGTTGGTAAGATCATCAGTCCCAGAATTTCATAAGCCGCAAGATTGGCACAAATAGCATGAGGTTATTATTTATTCATTTTTAAATATTAAATCATGTTTTTAGCAGGTTTGTCATCTTTCAGCTTACTCTGCCAGCTCCTACTATATGTGAGACAGTTATTGCATTACCAACCATGCTTGTAAACTATAGCAGCAGGTAAAAGATTTGTGACTCTACTAAAATACCTATGATGGGACAAGTTCCCTGGTGGGCACAAATAACTAACATGGGGAAACAAGCTATAGGCATATAAGTCACCTTTCAATTATATAAATTTGTCCAATTAGAGATACATCATTGTGTGTAGATAAGCCATGAGCCCAGGAATTTTTTGCTTTAGTAATGTATACAGGTGTGATAAAATCAAAGCTTAGAGCCTCATCTGGTGATCAGGCTGTGATGTGAGTGCTGTATTTGGGACCTACAGGCTGCCTTTAATTATAAAACATTTAACAGGTTTTAAAAAACTAGCAATACACCCATATTCATTTTTAGATACAATGTCTTACAGTATAGAGTAATTGTAAAGCATCTTTCACACCAAAATATAGTAAATCTTTATTCTCCTTTCCAAAAAAG